AACTTATCACATTTTTTAACATTAAAACCAAAGTATGATCTTAATTTGTCACCGCCTATAGTTATGTATAGCCGTGATTGTCATTTGATGATTAATCTATGATAGTTTTCAAGGACATTGATGAATTGCTCTAAACCACTACATTAGGGGAGACTCTAGGCACAAGCAGGCAAGGCGGCCGCCTAGGGCCGCCAACTTAATTATTCAATTTAAAACTAAAAAGAGGAAACTCAATAAAGCCCACTCATTGTAAAAACACAAAAAAGAAAAGAAAAACTTTCCCAATTACTCAATTCAAAATTAAAAAGAGAAAACTCAATAAAGACCCAATTATTTTAAAAAATTATAGCTTAAATCAATTGACCTAGTTGAATCAATTAGGAAATTGAAAAAAAAAAACATGGTAGAAAAACTTGATTATGTGAAGTTAATTGATACTTTTGAATCGAAAAATGCAAGATGCATGATGTTTTGATGCATTTTATAAAGTTGTTGCATAAATTACATATTGATTGTTTCTTTTATGTTACAATTGTGAATTTAAGTTCATATAATATATTTTTTTTTTCACTTATTGGAAAAAAAATCACATAAATATACATATAGAGAGAAGGCCCTATTTAAGATGTTCACTTAGGGCCTCCAAAAAGTAGGACCGCCACTGCACTACACTAGTGGATCTCTTTACCCTATTGAGAAGCGATAACAAACTAAAGTCTCACACTCTACACTTATGAATTAAAATATAATTGCTTAAGATTGGAGCGCAGGACACGGAGGCACCATAGTTGTATAAAATAGTGTTTGCATGTGGAACAACTTTCGTGTCTTCCTATCATTGGCAGTCAGTTTTCAAGATCTAACTAATGAAACAGAGTTACCAACTAATTTAATATATGCGATTTTGAAAACACGACTGATGTTAAACAAAGTATTTTATATTATATTCGTCCAAAAAAAAAAAGTATTTTATATTATATTTTTTCTCATAACTCAATTGCACCGAATGACACTAAATTTTGAAGTAAAATAGGTTTTTAATACGGCAAAATCATATGCAGTGAAAAAGTCTAGTTTAAAATAAACCTATTTTTTTCCCTTAAAATTCCTTCCTGTTACACGTAACGTACCCTTTTAAATTTCTGAAAAATTTACTTTAATTCAACAACGCGACTCAGTTCCAACTTGCCTCGTACGGGTTGATTTGACCAGTTATTAAGCGTGACCATTCACTTGGAAAAAATCCAAGCCCATTCTCACTGGTTTTGGAATCATGGGATGATTAGAAATGATTAATTGCTCTCTTTTTCTTTCGCTTTTGAACAGATTATCATAAACTGACATATATTTTTCTTGTTTAACATGGTCACTTGCTTTTCTCTCAGAAAAATAAAAACATGGTCACTTGCTTTAATGATTGTTCTTAATCATCTTTTGCTAAGAAAGTATGCTTAAAGTGCATTATTAATGCGCCACTTCTGTGCAACGTCATAATATTTACAAGTTTCCAGCTGTGTCCCCCAACTTGAGCTTGAACAGATAAAATCAGATGGCAATACTTGCTGTAACAGCCGGTACATGCCAAAACATGAACACAAGGAAGACTGGCCCGCCCGAGAATCCTTCTGTGCTTAAGTATATTGTTACCTAAAACAAGAGGAGGCTGTCACCTATATGTTTCTAGGGTATAAGTACTTGAACGGAGAACACGAGAAAGCTTATGTCGGGAACGAGTAAACCTAGAAAATCTTCAAGAAGAAGGTGCATATTATTCCACAAGAAATGGAGTCTAAGTCAATATTGTTTAGGAGCGTCAACAGGTACAACTCGTCCGTTATTTGAAATATTACGATTATACTGCTTACATGAAATTCTAACAATACACTTACTGTTCAGATCTCAAATAAACAGTCATTTTCATTTCAAAACAATACTACTGAGATCTAACAATTTCAAAACAACACATCCGAATAAATACCTCTACTAACACCGAACCGAAATGCCGATTACTGCTTCTTGAGGAGCAATGGTCCAACGTTGTCACCAGTAGCTTTATTGTGCTTCACATGGCTTCCATCGCACAGAGGGAAAGTCCCTGACCTCCAACACCTATTTCCAAACAACCACAACAACCAAAATTACTAAGCCCCCCTCCCTGCACTTACCAAGTGCATATGCAACAGACAATCATGACACATTTTTAGCCAGGCATAAAATAAATAAAAGCAAATATATTTCACATTTCACATTTCTCATTGAGCAAATGTCTCAGTCAGTCTTGGCACCGACTTAGAGCAAATGTTCAATAATTTATGCTCCAAAGCACCAAAGTTCCAAACACAATGCTTCAGTCTACTAATAAATTGAATCTTACAAAACCCCTTAACAGAACTTTAAGACTGTATTGTATCGTAATCGTATCCGCGTATCCGTGCAACATAGCATCTAATCTAGAACAATAAGCAGCAGATATACTTTCAAATATTGTTTACACAATACAATCAGTCTTCAAGGTTTGATATTTCCATAATTAATACGATCAAAAGTTCAAACAGTAGGAACATGAAATTGGAACTTACCTGCAATAAACTGTGAGGGGCTTAGAGAGCTCAGTGACGACAACAGAGTCCACAACCTTTTCCTCGCTCTTCCTAATTTCAGGGTTTATGGGTTGAGCCTCTGCTTTCACCACCACCATGGGCTTCATCCTTCTGCTATAACCACAACCAGAAGAAGAGGAAACAGGGTACGCCAATTGGGTCCCGAAGGTGATAGCTTTTCTGCTACTCAGTTTCAAACCCTCCATTGATGGTTTTCTGTGACCGCAAGAAGCTAATCCGGCCGTGCTTACAATCGACGCCATTGTAATGGGTCTGGAGATTTCTTGCTCTCAAACGAAACGACTGATGGGTTAGTTAGGCGGAAGGTTGGTGGTGCTTCGGTCTTGGGACTTGTGGATGGCACACTCCACAGTCTATTTCTATGGTTGGGTTGGGTGGGTGGCGCTGGGCGAGACACGTCACCTGTTGTCTGGTAACTTGGGCTTTTTTTTTGGGTGAAATGGTAACTTGGGCTTTCGAGCCCTCAATCTCTTCCTTTTTTATTTCCATGCCAAAACACAGGTTCAGGTTGAGGCCCTTTACCTTTTGGGGCTGACCCGACTGAATATCCCGTTGGGCTTGTTACATAGCTGCCCAAAAAGAAATTTATCAAAGACGAAAAAACAAATTTTAGTTAATTGTCTGACAAAGGGATATTCTAAACATATAAGGACATATAAGGAGGGAGATCGAACTATGATGCAACGAATAAATAATAGGTAATAGTGGCGGATCCATGATTAAAAAGCCAAGTAGGTGAAACTTACCTTAAAAACTCGACGGTACGAGTGAATTTTATGCATAAAAATAAAAAAGATACACCTAATCAGGGGGACGTAACGAGCCTTACCCTAAAAAATGCATAATCCTTTACGCAGCTAACTAATTTGCTCAAGGGAGAAGAAGTGGAGACCGTCAATTGAAATCAATTGGGTTTGCTTTGCTCTTTTTGTTTTTTTGAAGTATAATATAAGTGGGCATGGCCCATGGGATTGGAGTGGAGACTGTCGGCTGGCCTGGAGCATTTGAGTTGATATTGCTTTTATTATTTTTGTTAAATGAGAAAGTTTGAGTGGGCTGGGCTATTGTTTTTGTTAAGGGGGGGAAACATTTGAGTTGGTTGGGGTTGAGTAGGCAGAAGAGATATAATTGTATTAAGTATTGGATAATATTTGATTTGGCAAAAAATGGAGTAGGCGGCTGCCTACCCTGCCCTTAGGGTAGGACCGCCCCTGGGTAATGGGGTATGAGTTTGCCAAATTACTTGATTTTAAGGGTTTGAATTCTATCAGATAAGCATAGTTAGGCCCCGTTTGGGATTGCTTTTTTTGGCCAAAAACCTGCTTCACTTTAAAGTTAAGCAGTTTAAGGTGTTTGGTAAAAAGAAAATATCCTGATTATTTTAAAAGCAATGGCCTTTTGACAGCAGTTTTTAAAAGCAGGCTCTAAATTGCTTTTCAAAGCTGCTTTCAAAAGAAGCAGAGATGAACATTTGATAAATTTTTTTAATTCCCAAAATACCATCATTCATTTTAAAAAATGACACCACCTCCACTTTCACATCCAACTTCACCACCACATTCACTACCTCCACAACCACCGCCACCACATCTTCATCCTCCACCACCACCACCTCCACCTCCACATCCACAACCACAACCACCACCTCCTCCAAAACCTCCAAATCCACCACCACCTCCACATCCAACATCACCACCACCACCACCACCACCTCCTCATCCTCCTCCACCACCACCACCACCACTTCCTCCAAAACCTCCAAATCTACCACCACCTCCACAACCAACACCACCACCACCACTATGCTGCCACTACCACCACCACCACCACCACCACCAACTCCACCTTCATCACCACCACCACCTACACTCCATCACTACAAATACCACCACATGATTAGTACATAACACTTTTAACATCATGTCTATTTTAGTCATTATTCACAGTTACAACAATTTTATATTAAAATTTACCAAACACTTTTTACACTGCTTTTTGTATTAACAGCACTTTAAAAATATTGTTTATCAAACATGAAGCTGCTTTACTTTACAGCTAATTATTTTCAAAGCACAGCAGAAGCAACTTTTTAAAAAAGTGACAGTAATTCCAAACTAGGCCTTAAACTCATAATTACTTGTTCCATGCAAAAAGCTTTGGAGTATAAGTTTGACAAATTACCAATTATTGATGAGGAAATTGCAGCGCCAGCACCCACTAAAGTTGATTTGGGCACCAAATGGGCCCTGAAAGTTCACGGACAGAGAAAGGTCGTAACGCGCCCACATGAGAAAATTACGTCTGTAAGCCTGAGAAGACGAAATTACCCCAACGCATACGTTTTCACGAGGAAAAAACAAAAAGACAAAAAGAAAAGAAAAAACGCGAAATAATTTTTCAGGTGTGCGATCCCGCCCTGAACAACTAAAAAAAATTCCCAATTAACCACCAAAAATTATGAAAACAAGACACTGACTTCAAACCAAGTCTCTCTCTTTCGCAATCAGAAACGTCTCCTTTTCTTCTCCCACGCTTTGAATTCAATTCAATTCCACTCAAGCTCTATTCCTTTTGAAATTCAAATTCCGTTCCTAAAATTGGGAGGGAGAGAGAGAGAGAGAGAGAGAGAGAGAGAGAGAGATTGGATTGGTTCAGCTTTCCACATTTGATGGCGAAGAGAAAACGAGTGGTGTTTGGGTTTTGTTATTGTCTTCTGACGATTTTGATTTACGCGAGCGTTTCGTTTTCCGCGAGATCTGATAAAGAAATTAGGGAGAGGTTCTACGGGAATATGATGAACTCGTCCGCACCGGATTCCGGTGACGGCACCATTGCGAAAATGTTCGATCGGGTTCTCGAGAAAGAGTTCTCTGAGAATGATCAGCCCGAAGGTTAATTAATTATTTTTTTGGAATTTTTTTTTAACTTAACATTTTGCATTTTGTAGTTATTGTTTGGTTTATCATCTTAATCCTAGTTAGTTAACATTTCATTTTGCTTTTCACTTTGTCTAGGATCTGATGTAAGCAGCTTCAACAACAGTGTGGCTGATCAACAAGTAGGTTTTGTTATTATTCTCATCTTCTTGTTCCAATATGCAATAATGTGGTTGTAACAAGAAAAACTGGGAATAATTTGGTTTATTTTAATGCCAAAACAATTTTGTGGCGAAAGCTTTTCACTGCTTTAGCTCAACATACAAAATCAATCGTTGCTTTTATTTGTTGTCTCATTTCATCTTACAAACTTCTGCTTTGTAGCTTGAGTGTGCATATGTAATTGTGTGATTGTCGTTGTTTCTTTCCTTTTGTCATGTATGTTATAATGTTAAAGGCAAATACCGATTGTGTTTTGCAGGCTGTACTGGAGACTGTGGCTAAAATCACTCATGAGAAGAGAAATGATACACAAGAGGCAAAGTATATGAATGTTAAATGGTCTTTCGATGTTAAGACCATTGTTCTGTGACAAGATATTAAATTCGTAATGGAATAAGATGTGCGATTTTGCTTTTATGTAGTATTATATGCCATTTTGTGTTTGTTTTTGCTTCAGTGGCACAAAATCATTTCAGTTTCAAGGTGTTTTTTCCCTGGAGAACGAAGATTCTGAAGAAACAACAACCTTGATTGACAAAAAGGTACTTTGAAAGCTGTTGGCAGAGATTCCCTGGGGTTGTTATAATTGTCTTTAGCTTCATTTTAACCATATTAACTTATTTTACTTATTTAATGATAGGATAATGTGTTTGTGATGTCAAACAAGAAATCCAAATATCCAGTACTTCAAGTAGATTTGAGGTATTTTTATGTATTCCTTCCCTGACTATCATACGTGGATAAATTCAGGGCCCATTTTCTCAAATGTTTCTGGAATGAATTTACATGTGGCATAAACTTTTATGTCTTTGGTTGTTTTTAATTGATTATGGATTTTATAATCTAATGCCTGTAAAACAGTATGTTATCCCTCAAATAGCCCCAAAGGTCTTCCTTTTTTATAACGAACTAGTGATACTGCATTCCCCTGCCTTAAGAACAGTTATTGCAGTTTCTAAGTTTTGAGTTTACTTCTTGATACATGTATGATTTATGGTTAACACTTGACATTTTGGCAGGTTAATTTCTGATTTGGTGGTTATCATAGTTTCTGCTGCCATTGGTGGAATTTTGTTTTCTTGTTTGGGACAACCGGTTTGTCTTTAAATTTTAGCCACCCTTTTGCTTTTGTTCATAGTTTTTCTTATCTCTAACTTAATCTTCCACTATATTTAATGGTCTATATGACCCAACATTATAAACTTTCAGCTACATATAGCGATTTAAATGTTGCAGCTGTTATGCTATCTTTTCTAATTTATATGCTTATGATAGGTTATTGTGGGCTACCTTCTTGCGGGTTCTCTTATTGGACCAGGGGGTCTGGAGTTCATCAGTGAGATGGTACAGGTACGTTGTGAATTGTGATCAGCCAAAAGTTATATTTTTGCTGATTTTAGAGTTCTAGTTTCTTTATAGTTTATCCTCAAATCTGCTACTTCTGTTACAGGTTGAAACTGTTGCACAATTTGGTGTTGTATTTCTTCTTTTTGCTCTAGGTTTGGAGTTTTCTTTGGCTAAGGTATGTTAGACT